AAAAGGACAACATTAATGGATATGATAAACTACTAATAAATGTTGACATAAAACTTAGAGAAACTGTGAACAAAAATACGAAATTTATTAGCTATAAAAATTCTGATGAACTGTTTGTTATGTTTTTACGTTTTTGTCCATTTTCGATCCTATACGGTACACTAGGGATTTGGCGGCAGTCGCATCACAAATGTTTTAGCGAGCCCGATAAATATTTTTTGTAAATATAATCTTGTGAACATTGTTCGTAGTTCTATTCAGCTGAAATAATTTTTCCAGGCCATTTAAAAAGATTCTATTAAATTATCAGAAGAACCGTCGAAATGCAATCGTTATAAATCGCTCAAAGTTACGTTGCATTGCTCTTCAACCGATGACATTCCATGTACATTATTTACTGGATGCTTAAATAAACGAATATCTCGAGATTTTGCGCGCTTTGGCTAGCTGCCAAATTCGAATTTGTTAACTTCGCAGTCACCCTAGATTCCGGCAGTTGTTTTAAGTAATTTTGGAACCATCTGTAAGGCATTTGAAAAGATTGACATCATGTTTGAAATTGAATCAAGCAATGACTGATATAAAAAATATTGCTTATATTAAAAGTAAATACGATGCGCAGTCAATCAAAGAACGCACTGTTTATATTCTCATTTTTCTGTCCCTATCTACTTCTGTTTTATCATACTTCTGTCCCTATTTTCAACTGCCTCCAGCGAGCGAAGTTGCATTTGCTGTGAGCTCCTGTTTGGAAGCTTTTGAGTTGAGTAGAAACCATCGTGAGAATGCGGAATTTGTGCTTATTTTGTTTGTGAATATCTGTTCTACAAGAAGACACCAAAATTTTGGATACATCATTCAGAAAATATCGAATGCTACAATGCTAATCGTGGATATATTGTTCGTGAAATAGCGTTCTGTTTTAGTGTTTTATGTATTTTCGGTGATTAAAACGTTATATGGTGGTGTTCTCCAATCTTCTGTGTTTCTAGCAGTGCAATATTTGTATACCCTGATTAGCTTTATCCTTCGGTTATAACGTCCTAAGTGCTGTATCGTATATCATTTATATTATGGATTATTGTGTTCATCGTGAAAGGTTGGTACTCAGAATTAATTCATATAAAACCAAAAATAACATACAGCTGTAAGGCACTTTCCGGTTTCGCTTAAAATGCAATCAATGCAGGAGCAATAACAATTCAAGCTGTTATGGTATGTTCATTATTTTCAAAATACAAAGAAATTATTGGACTGGTACCAGTACATAATATGACTGCTGAAGATGAATTAGATATATGTAATAACAAGAAGCAGTACAATAAAATTAATAATAATGCACATTCTATAGTGTGTTGTCTTTTATATAGTATGCTGAAAAGCTTAATGATTTTAAACAGTGTATGAAATGTATGATCGAAAATAAGTGTTAAGCAAACATTAACATTTCTATGAACTATTGTAATCTTTGATTATGTGATATTAATTGCGTAATATTAAAAAACACTAAATATTTTTATTGGTTGCAAATTGCAGTTTTATTACTTTTCATTTGGTATCTTCTAAACACTGTATAATTCGCGTTATTTCTAAATATTGCCGTTATGTATGTTTATTAGATTATCTCAATAAATGAATGTTGGAAATTAGGTTTTATTTATTATTAAATTTAAGTATATTCTATTTTCTTCGCTTGTTTTCTATGTGCGAGCGATAACAAAGAAATTCATAATAAATAAAACAAAAAGTTTCATCGTGTGCTATTTAACAAAGAGCTTACTTTAACGTACTTAGCTTACTATCATATACTGTATTATTTAAATTATTTCTGTAGAGTAACAAAAGGAATGTTTTTTTTTTTTTTTTTTTTTTTTCTTTTTCTCTCCTATGGCGGATTGTAAACAGTTACATTGTAACACAGTCCATTAATCTATACGCGGCCAGATGTAGCGGCCATAGGTGAGCCTAATAGGTGAGCCACCATCGCCTCCTATGAAGGGACGGACAGCCTTCAACCATGCCTTCTCCAGGATTCGGACCCAGGCCCTTCGGTGTCGCAGTCAGGCTTCCTAACCACTATATCGTCTGGGCGGCAACAACAAGAGGAGAGTTATTGATAATAAAAAGTACATGAAATAATCATTTTAATCTACCACAATTCTATATAGAAACTAAAAATATGTAAATCCATTAACATATGATCGAAAGAAATGGTGTTAAGAAACATCAGCATTACTAGTAAATACTGCAATCCATAATTATTGCACTTTTAATTGCTTACTATTTAAAAAACACAAATAACTTTTTATTAATTGGAAATTTTAGTTCTGTTACCTTCCTTCTGCTATTTATACTTTCAAACACTGCTAGTTCATGTTTTTTCTTAAATAGTGCTGTCATGTATGTTGTTTGTTACGTTATTATTTCATTTTAGATATGAATATGCGAAGTTTTTTTGCTTGTTAAATTTAGGTATATTTTTGTATGAAATATTTTTATCACATTTACTAACTACTTTACACAGTCTTTCATTTCCATTCCTTGGCGATATGAAAGTTAATCGGTATATTTTTTATTAAAAAACGAGAATAAATTTATACTTCAGGTAAAATACTAATTACGTTACCTTAAGAACCGCTTCCTTATGTATCATGACAGGGGGCAATTTTCAATGTCTCTGAGATTTAACAGAAATAAATGTGATAATGCTGTTATAAACAGCATTTTTAACAGCATTTAAACAGCTGTTATAAACAGCTCTTTTTTTTACCCACATATATAGTTTTAGTTTATTTATGTCTGATTGAGTTTTATTAACTTAAAACCTACTATTAATGTTATATATTTATTATAACCCCTTTCATAATTACTCTCACATACTAAAGGACTAAAGGAAAAAAAATGATGAAATCCTTAATAATCGTAACTTAGAATTTAAGTTATTTAAAAAATATACTTTAAAATACTACAAATAATTCTTTAGCATATTAAGGCTATTATTAATTATGCATATTTAGTCTAGAGAAATTTTAAAAATATAGTTTTAAGTACTGAAAATAATTAAGGCTATTATTAATTATGCATATTTAGTGTAAAGAGAAGAAAATGTATTATCTTCTGGTTTTCAGGAAATTATAAAATATTTAAACTTTAGAAAAATACAAGGAATACAAAATTTTAAAAAAGAAGAAAATATATTAATTATTATGTTTATTTTTCTGCATAAATCAATATGTAACACAAGGACATAATAACGGCGTTTTCACAACTGTTGCAAAATGCGGAATTTTGAGAAACCAAAATATAACCTGCGAAAGACGCAATAACGACGTCTGTGCGACAAAAACCTCATATGCAAAGACGTAATAAAGACATCTTATCAACGCTTGAAAATAGTAGAGTTTCGCGGACATCTGGGCGTCTTAAAGACGACATATTGCAACGTTTTTTGCAACATGACTCGCCATCAGTTTGCAACGCCTTTACAATGTTGCCGTGCTACTTGGGATACTAGTAAAATGTGAGAAGTTCTTATAATCTGATATAGGCTTATATCATCATTAACCAATCACATAATGCAATAATATCATACCTCTAAAATATAATCTTAGACTCTCCATTAAATTATAATTTCCGAAACCAACCATATTTTTCTTTTACGCGCCGAGACAGAACTATCAAAATCTGTTTTCAACTTCACAATTTAAGGCTTTAGGTCTACGGCTTTTGGTATTTTACTGATGAAATTCACAAACAGGAGATTTGACTCTATCTCTATGTCTATTTATTTAATTAAATATATCCATGAATTTTATCATTATTATTATTAATTTTACCTCGAACCAATAACTTTGGACATAAAATCTAGACAAATTCGAATTTTAGAGGTATGAGCACGTTATTTCGAAAAGAGGTACTACCTTCCACTTCTATAAGCAACTCGGAATAAAACCTTGTCCAATAAATCGTTTAATAAATTTGCAAACGTTTCTGGAATTTCAAAGTGAGGTAAATTCTCAGTTATTCATACGTAATACATTTGTGGTTCAGTAATCGTGTTTTGAACGGTAATACTAATAGAAACAAACTAATCATCTAAAATTCGGAACTTGGTTTTATAATATTCATACAGTTTTCCAAACAAAATTTCAATAAAATTTCATCATTCATCATCAAATTTCATAAAACTACATCACTTCAATAAAACTACATATACATCTGTATCCAACATCTGTATCGAAGATGTATACCAAATGAAAAATCTTAATTTAAAACATAGGTTAAATAAAAGGTTTCAGATTAACACATAGATAGATAGTAAGATAGGAAGTTTGCCGCGGGGGGGGGGCAATTAGCCAAACGTCGTGGGGTATAATTTCGTGAAACATTTTCGAGCCGAAATGTACAAAACGATTCCACAATGACAATTCACAATAAAATATTCATGCTAATATTTTTGGGCCTTGCCCGCCACATATGAAGCAGTAATACAAATAACTAATGCGTAACTAAATAAACATTAAATAAGCCAATTCTAAAAGCATTCCACATGATTATTTATCAAGATTTCCTTGAAACCGTATTTCATGCATTATACTATACATGCATGTAGGTTCTTTATTACGTAAAATGCTTTTAAAATGGATTGTTCAACATGGAAACCATTTCTGATGGTTAGACATAACGGAAGGATGGCAAGGTAGTAGCCACGCAACAGTTTTACACAACTTCGAGTAGAACATTTTCTTGTATTTTAGAATTTCAGAAAAATATAGATTGATATAAAGCACTGGTTTAGGTATTAAAGTAGTGTATTCACTTTATAGTGTATTCTTGAAGAAATTTTAGCAGAAATAGCACAAAAGTTGTTTAAATTTTAATATTGCCTTAATAATCAAGGCTATTATTTATGGGTGATATAACATAGCAAATAAAGTTTTTAATTTTTTTTTAAATGTATGTAACTGTTATTTGTGCAAGGAAAAAAGGTTTCAGCTTACCTTCATTTTTTTTAGTAGGATAACAGTCCTTGGCACGCGTTTCTAATAAAGTAATGGTTTCCAGCAGGGAGTTCAAAGCGTGCGCATGTATGTTTGCATAAACCGCAGATGTTACAAAACCTGGCGATATGCGGGAGCTCTGCATCTTTAATACGAAGCAAGACCTGCTGTCAGCTTGATCAAGCATCAGCTTTATGACAACACCGACTCCGTTTTAAAAGTCAGGTCGAATACAGCGACAGCCACGCCTAAGAGATGACGTCAAATCCACACGTCATTGATTTAGATGAGCGTGAACTAACATTTAATGTTTCTAATACACAAACTTATTTTGAACGGCTTTTATTCCTTATAAATATTGTTCTACACTTGATGATTGAAAAATTATGCTTGAAAGGGAAAGAAAACAGGAATGAAGTGATTGTATAAAAGGATTTAAAAAAAACATACAGAAAATGTTCAGTTTCTTTCAACAATAAAAATGAAATAATAACAGTCTAAATATTTTCATAAGTTATTAATATTGAATATATTTTAAATAATATTCCCAAAATCATCTTTTCTACATGATCCTTAAAGTCGAAAAAAAAAATCATCCTTAAATTTGTTGAAATTATTCTCTGTTAACTTTGAAGCTATACTTCCCAACTTTTAAGAAACCGAACTACAGAATACTGACAAAGTAAGGAAGGGCAACCCCTGTGGAAGAGGTGTTTTCGTGAATGACTTTTTACAGGAAATTGAACATAATTATGTCACACATGAAGAAACCTACGTAATCACATGCAGCCAATATTTTCAGTTCCAGGATTCCCAGGGGCGATAAGCAATTTTGTGGCACAGCCTCTTAGGAGTAATTTACAAGATAAGACCAGACACTAGTTTATCGGGATATTTTATGGAATTAACTGCAAATGCTTTACATAACGCAATGAATCATATTTTACAGTCCAAGATTATTATTTTGATTTAAAAAAATTTATTTACTTTTATTCTACTTAATCACTTTCTGAAAAAAAAAAAAAATAATGATTGTGTGCCTAAGGAAAGGTGCACATGCATGGTCTGTTTTCTAAGAAAACGTAATTGAAATTTATGTTGCGAATGGAGCAAGAAATTTCCATCAGTTGTCGATATGATCTATCATAATTTCTTGAATTTAACCGTTCTGGAGACATGACTTAACAATGGCTCTTTTGTTTGGGAATCACGTTACATAGTTTTTTTCAACTCCTCTAATCTCTTTCTTTTTTCATCTCCCAAAATTTTCAGCTTATATATGTAGCAAGTATTAAAGTTAGGTAAGACTATTTTGCTTTAATTGATTTTGTGTTACCAAATGAAAAACATGAGGCAAAATAACGTGTTTATGAATTGAAGGAGTAAAATCAAAATTATATGCATATTTTGTTTATGGAAACGAATATGAGTTATAGCTGTTTTCCCACAAGGAATATTTAGAGCTTTAGAATTCATTTTAAAAAACATGCTTTGAACATTACGATTTTATAAAGATTCTTAAGCTGAAAGTGTTTAATTTCGCATATAATTAACCTGATCAGGTAAAATAAGTAAGCAGACAATTAACCTGATCACGTAAAATAAATAAGCAGACAGTTCATCAGATTGAATTTCTGAAACAGATTGCATTAATTTTCATCGCAATTGTATTATTTTGAAGCTTCAGGAAAATGTATTCAGAAGTAAATCTAAAATAATTACTTCTTTATTTTTCCTTGATTTTTTGGTCGAGATGCGCATTTTCAGTCGTAAAATTTGTACGAAATCTAAAAACTCAACTGTTTAATTATGTTTCCGTCAAGACATCCAGGTGAATTATCGCCCTGTGCTAAAACTTCTAGTAAAGTGACATCGACTCAAGTGAACGTTGAAACCAAAATTTTTAATAGAATTTCAACTTAACATCCCGTGTAAATACAGAACAAGTTACAGTTTATTGCGGAATTTAATAGAGCACAGAAGTTAAATTAAACATACGTAAATGTGAAAAGCCAAAACGACAGAGTCCAACTCTAAGTTTTGGCTCAGGCCCTCGACGCAAACACAGATAACAAAGGCTAAAGTCGATTCTGCTACTTCTAGACACTGAGCGAAAATTGTAACAAGACTGTCATCAGTCGCTGACCAAAAGTTCTCCTTTCTAACTTCAAGAACTTTGTTCCTATATGCATTAACTGATTTGCATCACGGGTGGAGCCGACAAAATTAAAGGTAAAATTAATTTGGTTAATATGCATAAAACCTAGAGATTCAGTAAAATAAAATTAGTGTATTAAAAAAAAACTAAATAATTTGTTTTTAATAAGAATTCGATTCATGATCCAGTTTGAAATCATTTTTACTTCAAACATAGTAAACACTTCTATGATATCTTCTATGATTCATATTATTGAAATAATAGAACACCTCTATATTTTTACTCCAACTAGGCTATTAGACTCGAAGTGCGGTTTTTCATGTTCCACTGAAAATGGGTGGATTCACTTTACATTCGACTCTGATGCCATTCGGAAAAACGTAAGATATTATTCTTTCATACCTAATATGTGTGCTACTGATAAACAAACTAAACTATTTAAAAGCAATAGATGCAGTCCATAAAAATATTACTTTTAACCATTGAATTGGTTTCTTTTAACACTAACATTACGCCGTTTTCCGTTTACCAATAAGTAAGATCAGTAGTCATTTTGATCGCTTGTTGCGAATGAAAAGCTAATGCTTATAATGGCACATTTTGCTTATTTAATAAGTAGATAAAGTAAATTGGGTAAATACATGCAACCAAAAGATAATTTAATGTAACAAAGAGAAAAAAAAAGCAAAGTGAGTAAATATATTAATTCGAAGGATAATTTAATAAAACAAACAGCTAAAGGAGAAAAACAATTGTTCTAGATATTTTTTAACTTCTTATTATTTAATAAATTGCCTCATAAAAATTTTCAGTATGAAACAAATATGTTAAAAATTACACATATCAGTACTTGCATTACTCGGTGTTGCAGTACATACAGATTACTATTTTTTTTTTTTAATTTTACCTGTACAGGTTCCACAAACATGTTTTTTACAGTATTCACCCTTATTCAAAAAAGTTTTCCCTCTGCATGCATTTATTCGGTATTATTTACGCTTACAGGAATGGTTGACGCAAGTACCAATTCTTTTTCCGTTACAGAAAGTTTGTGAATTTTGTATGAAATGTGCATTTTTCGAAGTTCCTCAGCCGTATTCAAAATAAAATCACGACGGCTGATATCCTTATATTTAGTTGTTTCCTTGTAAATTATCCACGCATTTATCACGGCCAAATCAAGAATATTAAAAAGAAACTGAAACTGGCTAACGGCTGGATGAGGTCCGTATGGTTTTTCTTATTTTGCATAACAAATTTATTCTAAGTTTGATACCTATTCTAGACTTATCAACTTCCCTCACATTCTCTCACCTAGATGTAAATTTAAAGTTAAGTGAAGTGTTTATTTAAAAGTGTGAATACCTCAGTTTATTCAGAGTGTGTTTCGCCCAAGCGCACGTTTCGTTGTTATTTCGCGGGTCCACCAGTGGCCGAGCGATAAAGTCGCTGAACACTGGTAGTTCGGTCCCGAGTTTCGAATCCCGCGAATGGGCTGGCTGCATGGGAGCTTTCATGGTTTTCTCCATGTGTATATGAGCCAGTTTTCCTTCGAAAGTCCTCCACGAAGGCACCCCTCCCCTTAAGCAGATAGCCCTCGAGGCTTTGCCATAATCACACACACACACACACACGTTGTTATTTCGCTGTTACGAGAGTAAGCATTTTGGTCTTGTCAGATTTAGCTTCATGCCGGTTAGGCTCTTAGGCTGAACACCTCTTAGGCGGAACTTCAGTGCTATCTTGCACTACTTATTTCAGGTTTGACTTACATTCTACGTTTTAGTTTCCACCGCAAGTTGACGGTGTTTTTGTAACGCACAAAGACCGTGTCTTTATGTTACTATTTTGAATTAATAAAGGGTTATTTTTACGCTTCGTCTGAGTCAGTAGCCTGTGCGAGAATTCGCCAAATCATTATAGGATCTATTCTAGTTTATGGGGAATAAAAGAGACAGCCTCTATAGGACTTCACTGAGTATTTTCTGCCCATCGGGTTCAAAACATCAGCTCCATATTTGGTCGAATTTTGATCAGATGCGATGTCCACTGTTGGGTGCATGGCACTCAGGAGCACAACGTTCTTGTTTTTTTTTTCCTTGATAAGACGTAAACGTTATATTTTAATGCTTAGCGATCTTACTAGAGCAGAGGTCATCCCTCGTATTTCTGAAAGAATAAGGTACTTCTCTTTCTGAACGATTATTGTGCCAACGCAGCTTATTCCTGAATTCCATATTCTTTTTTTTTTACTAATTTCAGCGGTTCCATCAAGCAAAAAGCTGCATGTTCACCTGCTATTTCCCTAACTGGTCTTGTTTCGTCGTTTCCCAAATAGGGAAATCCGCTTAGTAAATATTTTGACTGCACATCAGCAGCAAAGCTAAACTTATTGCCGAATTTGTCCGGCTTCTTAGGCATATACTGAATAAATCGGCATCGGGTTTTCATGGGAAGTAATTGTTCATCCACTGTTATATTTTCGCTCGGTTTATAATATTTCAAGCAATTTTCTATAAAAGCATTCCAAATATAAGAAACAAGGGCAAAAGGATCAGTTTGCAGGCTTTGGGATCTTGATTTAAATTTTTACTTTCCTTTTCTGTTTCGCGAACAGGTTCACCATCAGACGAATCGGATTCACGCGTTTCAGTAGGAACAATCTAATCCTTGTCTAATGAACTGGATGTAGTTTCAGGATGAAATTCTTCATCAGATTCTGCTTCTGAAGCAGAATTATCATCAGGAAGACTTTAAAAAACTTTCAGCATCTCTTCCTTCCGTTAGATGTTTTCCACCAACTCTCCTACGCGACATATGAAGCAGGTCAGAACAACAAATTTCTCCAAATGAAGTAAAGTACATTTGTGTCTATTGAAAAATAAACTCTCTAACACTAGTGAAATGCGCAGACATTTGTCGCGCAAAATTTACTCCCCACTCCTCCGCTTCCCACTCACTTTTGTGAAATATGGAATCTTTATTACCAAAAATACACTTGTTTATCTATGAGCAAATCGGAAATATCTAAA